GTTGGTCTCCAGGAGTCCAGGCTCAGCACAGAGTTTAACTTTTGGAGGATTTGTTTTGGGCTAAATTCTGTGTTTTCTGTGATGGAAACTGTAGCGACCCACCCTGTTGCAACACAAGAATGTACAAAGAGAACCTACAGTGGTCCACACAACCAGCATGAATAATATTATAAGGTTTACCACGTGCTCTCATGGTGAGATATTTTTGGATGTTATCGTTTGATCGCGTAACAGTCAAATAAGGCTGCGATGCAAAGAGGAACAGAGGAATACCTAGGACTAACTTTGTTAGGTTTTCTCCTGCTTTGTTTATGTTCCACTAAGAGATGGTGAAGTTGATAACTTTTTTTTTTTTTGTCCGTTTGGTTTAAGCAGATAATGGTCTTGACTGCAGCAGCATGAAAAGTGTCAGCCTGACCTCATACATGTCAACGAACCCTGATTTCACTGACACAGTCTGAGTCAAAGTTTCACCAGCAAACTCCTGCTGACCTTCATTTTTACATTCACCAGCAAGGACCACGCCACAAACCTGTGCATTTAAAGATTTATTCATGAATGCATTAGGTATGAATTGGAGAGGGAGGAAGGGGAGAGGGATGAAGGGACGGAGGGATGGACGATCTTGATTCGGTCGTCTGGGAGAATGACGGAGGGCTTGGGATGTGGACACTCTGAGTGGGGCTATGTCTTCGGGAGGCGGTTCCTCTTATTTATTCCTGAGCCAACATAGGAGCCCCCAGACGAAACCTACGGCGAAAGGAAAAGTCAATGCACGGTTATGCATAAAGAAGTGTTAAATGAAAGGGGTAAAGGGTAAGGGAGGGTGGGTTTGACGAAACACGACAGACTGAGTAGAGTGGATGAGCAGAGTATATATAGGCTGCTTGGAGAGTTAGAGGTGTGGTTTGGGCGTGGCCCTGCTCCCGAAATTAAGTTAAAGTATTAACTTCCAAAATGTAACAGTATAACGAAGAGCTGCGTGTGTACAGAAATGAGGGCTACAACCGTCAAAGGGACTCAGAACATCCTCTTATTGGACTCTTTAAGAGGAACATGGCTCAGAGAAAAGAGAAAAAGGAACGTTATTATGCTAAAACCACGAAAAAAAAACCTGACCGTAGCACTTCCTGGGTTTTTACACTCAAACGCAACATTTTCCATTCCTCTCTGCAGTGTGTGAGTTTCTTATTTGCAGTTATTAATAACAGTGAATAATTATAACAAGACGGACATTTAGAAATGTTATTTTATTTATAAAATCCTTGCACTGCAAAACATACAAAAACTTACAAAACATTTTTTTTGTCTAGTTTTTAGGTCTAATATCTTAACTAATTTTCAAGTTACTTTTCAGCAACATACAAGAGTTTGTTACTGATATAAGAACAGATTTTTGCACTTACAAGTGAAGAACTGTCTCATAATAAGTGAAAACAATCCCAAAATAATTAAAACAAGCCTCTATATCTTGCTGAAAAGTTGCTTATAAGTTCGTTTAGTCTTATTTCAAGTGTGCAAAGATATTTGCACACTTAGACAAAGAAATAGTTGGTAAAATTTTATCTTTTTGCAGTGCGGCATTAAACTCAGCACAACAGTAGACGTGTTGTTGTAAGCAATCATATTAAAGCTGACTTCTCTCACCCGGCGCTGTAATCTGTGTGTGCGAGCGAACGGGGGATTGGACCCGCTGAATGACACACTTGTGTCCTCTCCATCTGCCCATCAGACTCCCCCTTTGTTCTGGTTCCTGCTAAACCTCGTTTTGTTCATCAGCATATCCTGTTCAACTTAGTTTTATTGATCTGCATTCACATTTGCTTACATAAATACACAAATACATATGCAAAGCAGCAGATTCCCTGAATGCTAAAGGTCAGTGGGGTTATGCAGAAGCAAGCGTGCCAGTATTGGATATTGCCTTGCAAAAAAAAAAAAAAAAATTGTTCAGTGCTGAAAATAAGTCACTTAAATTACTTAAACTTGAGTGGTTTTCAAAAATCTCCTGAAATTGCTCAAAATAATCAGAAGGAACTAATGAAAATATTCTACCGGCCCTTTTGCAACATGTTGTTCAGATTGTGAAACTGACACCTGCTAAAGTGTTCAATAAACACCGTTTTTAAAAGTAGACACTACTGCCGGGTTATTAAACCATATTCTGAGGTCAAAGTCTAAAGATATTATAGGATTTTCTTTCCTTTGGTTAAAGGATTTGCTGGAATTCTCACCAGCAAAAATTAATGTTTATCCTTGAGTGGTTCTGCAAAAAGAATCAGCAGTCCTATCGATCAGAGGATATTTGAAGGTGGTTGATTTAGGTACAGTGAAATGCCCCAGTTTACTCGCACATCAATCACTGCAGCAGTACTGTCCGTTCCATGAGGATTCTTTAACTGCACAGGAAAACATGGCGAGTCGTCTTTAGTGTCTGAGGCAAAACTTAGCTCTAAAAATTCACACATTATTTCTCCTGTACGTCTCTCATGTCACACTTGATAAGCTGCGTGAGTAAGCACATAACGCTGCCAAAATAACTGACAAAATCACACACATAAAACTCAAATGTTTAAAAAGTTTAGAGTCTAAGCAACGTCTAATCTGCACGTTCCTTTATTGTTACAACTTCATTTAGCCTTGCAGTGCTGATTTCAACAATACACAACAGATCCAACAGTATTTTTTCTTTGGAATGATTTCCAATTTTCACATTTGTAGTTGCGCTTTTCGTTGGCCACCACAAGTGAGTTTCAGTGGGGGTGGGGTTAGTCCTTATGTGACTCGACTTTCAGTCGTTTTGTTAAAAGTGAGTTGTGGCGAGTGCATCTTATTAGTTCTGTGTTGTGCTTTCTGAACTGAAGTCATTATTCGGGCTTAAAGTGGGACACTGTGTATTTTCCAAGCACATAATTCCATTTTATAGTACAGTTATGTAACTCTGTTTCAGTTATGAAAATGCTACATATATCTAAAACCACTTAGAAGGAATTTGACTTTACATCATAACCTTGTCTGACGCAGTGAAATTGGCCTCTGTCTCTTTAAGAACCTCCTATCCTTTCCGACACTCAGTCATCATCACAATACTTCTCCACGATGCCACTTACAACCGTTCTTAGAAGCTCAGTAGAGAAGTGCAGTTCCACCAGGTGTTTTCTAATTGCTGCTGCCGCTAGTCTGGAGGAGCTGGGTGGGTTGAGGGGAGCTGTGTAAATAGACAACGCATACACGAGCAGGCGTACAATCGCCCATGGTTGCCACAGGAGATTCAAGGATTTCTTAAGGCTGTTGAAATTTGAATAGAATTTGCTTTAAAGACCCATGCGTTCTATGTTGTCCTAAAAAAGCAATGATTTGTGTTACTTCAGTATGTCATGGGATGTTGTGTGTTTTCTAAGTACATAGTTCCATTTTATGTGTTACATGAGCTGGATTTGTTTTGAATATATTTAAAATGCCTTAAAGTTTACCCAAGCACATACTGTACATTCTTTTCAGTGTAGCTGGTTTTTAGTGTATAATGGAGTCATCTTTCTCCAGTAAATTATCGTTGTAGTAACTTATTGTCAAGGCCTGTAAATCTGCACACAGGGGTTTAACTACAATATCTCAAAAATCATAATGGTAAACACCAGCTCACTCTTGCCTTGTCAGACAGCCTTCTCTGTTCTGTATTATTAGAATATGATGCTGTGATGTTCAAAAGCCTTCTTATAGCTGGAATACGGATTTAACACCAACTATCAGTTAAAGAGTGTTCATCTTGCATCATGGAAACCTGTTTCGTAACAAACAGAACAAAAAGCAGGTTGGTGACAGAGCAGAGTGTGGTTAAAAAGTGTGGTCTGTAAACAGATCCAAGAGTCACGTTGCGCTTTACATTTTAAAAAAGTTAAACCATCGACAGTCCTTTGTCATCTGTTAATGTGAAATTTTCCATTGTGTCACTTTGCTTCAACGATCTTAAAATTCCAGAGAAGGTTTTTATTTGCAATCTTAAACTCCAGATGTCTCTAGTTCCTACTTAATGTCTCAAACAATTCCAACTCCATGCAGATTTTGGAATGGCCTACATCAAGACTTAAATATATATCTTTAAATAAAGTGTTGTCAATGTACAAGCCAAGGTGGGAGGTCCCCCTCCCCCCTCAAACTACTTCAAATTTAAATTAGAAAGATTGTTGTACTGATAAAATATTAGAAGTTTTATTTTTCATAAAGTTATTTCAAAATATCTTTTTCTTTCTTACTAACATGTAAACCAAATTATTTACATACAGTATGTCATTATGTATTGCGTACTTCCATTAATTTCTAAGAACTGATAGTATCTTTCAGGACCTCAGCATTTTTCTCTGACCTTTTTTTTATTAACATGAGTAATCAGAGGACCCATTAATTTTGCGCTTTTACTGATATCAGGAATAAAAAACAAAAACACTTTGTCTTATAGAATTCTGACTTTTAAAAAAATCACTGTAAAGAGGAATTATGGACTTTTACTTTCAGCACCTGTTAACCTGCAGGGTCAGGTTATCAGCCTGCTTTGCTGAATATTGCCTCCATAAATTTATCTTGTGACTTCCTTCTTTGTCCAATATCCGCAACATGGCCAATTATTATTTTATTTTATTATTATTAGTCTTTTCATGTAAAATCGATGCTCTCACTGACTGCAAGCATCAGTCAAATCACTGCATTTTACATGCAATCTAAAAGAGTCTAGATTCATATTAACTCCAGAGTTTTCATTTCTGGGATTCTGGAGTTATTGATTAAAATAATTGTTGACATATTAACTGCAAATGTTGGAATCAGAGCAACAGGAATTAGTCCTTAACCTGACAAAGGTACTAGTGAGAATGTCATTGTGTTCCTTGATGCACAAAAATGTTCAAACTGGCCATCAGCCATTTCAATAACAGTAAGATAAAAAGAATCTTTTGTTTTTATACTTGAACATTTGGCTGTTATTCAGTTGTGACCTTCCTGTTCTTTTGAATGCCACATTGAACCGCAGTGAAGTTTCTGCTCAGCTCTAACGCATTCTGTCGTCCTGCAGACAGCATCATGGGCTGTGTGGGCTCAAAGGAGCAGCAGAAGTACCCCAGCAAAGACACGGATAACAGCGACCAGCAGAACAGAGCTCAGGTACACTATGTCAGAGACCCCACCTCTGGAAGCAAAGCTGCCGTAAGTTGGACCTGAAAAAAACATACTGACTTAGACATTCAACAGCTACAAACTCACTGAAAGGTCGCTGAACGATTTCCATTCATTACGGTTCTAATCCTCACTAGAGAGTGTCAGCTCTTACAAATATGTCAGACTCTGAACCCACAGCTGAGCTAACGCATTTCCTCATAATATAAAATGAAAGTTTTATGGAAAAATATGAATCGGGTGGCCTGGGGGCAATTAGTTGAACTGGTTTAAAATATTTTTTTAGGGGAAGGTTTTTATCAACAATTTTTTTTCCTTTTTTTTGTCAATAATCAATAATATTGCATGCTTAGTTTATTGTAGGTAACCAAAACTCCACATCAATTAACATTTGCATCTTTTTTTTTTAACCTCCGGTATAAGGGAACTTGTTTTTTACTGTGGTGAATGTAGATTTAGATTTTTTTTTAGAGTAAAGCCAAGCAAAAAGTATCCCACAAAATTAAACGTGCAACATGAAATTACAGAAGTGTGCAAATGTTTTCTCATTTTAATTGTACGGTGTATGTTATGAGTCATCCAAACATGGCAATCCTATGCTTGAATAGGTCATATTTAGCATTTTGTGCAATGATTTGTTGTTGGGTTTTTTCGTGATTAAATAAAAAAAAATATACATTCATTGTGATTTTGTTTTCTAGCAGATGCAAAATAAGGTATAAATTGTTAATTTAAATGCAGCATGTACCGTTCAACAGCTATAAAAGGTATGATGTAAATTTGTGACATTAGGCACAACTGAACAAATTGTGATTACAGAAATATTTCAGCTTAAGCATGTGCATTGTTTTAATGATTCTAATGCCAAGCAATTATTTCTTTGCTGTCTATTCTGTCAGCACAGACTCCCTCAAATAGAATAAATCTTAGTGAAGCAACCAAAGTCTAAGAAATAGTATTAGCTATTTACCAAGACCATTAGAATAAAAATTATAATGGTTTTCATTAAAATTATAAATTCAGACAGATTTCTATTACAATAAAAATCTGTCTGCTTGGAAGGAAAATAGAGACATTTTGGCATAAGTAGCAAATGTTTTGTACAGTAGCACAAATACTCTGTTCTAAAGGACAGTTTTAAGTGCACATCCATATTTTAGAAGTAAAAAGAAAACAACTGCAGAAGCTTAATGGGCTTCTAAAAAAATGAGGAAGAGTAATGGCAAAAAGGCAGAAATAGGCAAGCTTAGTTCAGAGAAGATAAGAACTCAGTTCCACAATTTTCAGCAAAGAATCAATGGGAAGTAGCTTCCCTTTGTTGCCATTTACAGAAAAGACACTGTGTGGACTCAGACTCAACATGTCCGCGTGACCTGCTGTGAGTTTGCATGCCGATTAGACTTTGATCTGTGGTAGCATTAAAGTTGCAGTGTGTGGTTCCTCTGGCTACTGCTTCCTGTGTGTTGACTGTAAGATCTCTTTCGCCCTCACAGAAGAAAGAGGAAGTGAGAGAAGCAGAACCAGAGCGTTCAGCTAGGACATGCGTAGCGAGAAGTGTTAAGCCATACTTTTTCATGCTGCGATAACTCTTAACGTCAACACATTTGGTGATTGGGTCTAAAATTCCCCCATGGGTTTTAAACAGATCACCTGGCTCTACTTTAAAATCTATGTGGCATAAAAAGCAACATCTAACCTGGAAAACAACAATGTAGCTGCATTTGATGCAGAATTAGTTGATATGCTGACCTTGCAAATGTTATTTTTGTGTTTGCACAGTTTTGTTGTAATTAAATGAGGTTTTAAACTTGAAGCCTCTCATTAAACAGCTACTTTTAGAAAAACCTTTTTGTTACACATAAATGTTTCAGATCATCTGATTAATTTTTAATAGCTGAGAAAGAGAACCTGACTAAAACCAACACCCAGTTTACTTTTCGGTTAAGTTAATTTTGTCCCAATTCATAACAAATTCATCTCAAAGCCTTAAAGTTAATAATTCAATTCAGTCAAATTATTTGGTTTATGTGAACAAACAGCACCACGACCCTCAGCTGCCACTGTTAAGGTCAGTGTAAATGACAATAAGAAAGAATCTGGGCAAAAATAGCATCCGTGAAGGATTTTACAAGTCAAAAACCTTAGCTGACCAAAAATAACACAATGGCCTGCCTCAATTTTGCAAAAAAAAAAAAGGTATCTCCAGAAGTTCACATCTGAATGGCATAAAAGAAAAGAAAAAACTGTTTCATAATGGCCTAGTTAATGTCTGCATGAGATGCTGTGGTATGACTTTTTAAACATGTCATTCATTCTAAAAAAAAAAAAAAAGTCCTCCGTTTTGACTAATTTAAAATACTTCTCCAAAGAAGAGTGGTCCAAAGTTCCACCACAACAGTTTTACCACTAATCACAAACACTTAAAGGCAGTTGGTGGTGTTGAGTGTGGCACAACCAGTTATTACGCTTGTCCTGTACCTTTTTCAAATCATCTACTAGAAATGTGACTCCTAACATTAGTCTTGTTGATTATGCATTGTTGTTAGTAACCACACTAATTCTGATGATCAAAACATATTTTGCATTTTTAAAAAAAGTATTTTACTTTCATTTGAATGCACGGAAATTAAAATGAGTGCAGCATTCATGTGTGACTGTCTCTCTCTCTCTCTCTCTCTCTCTCTTTCTCTCTCTCTCTCTCCACAGGCCAAACTGCCTTCTAATGCAACCTCTTCAGATGGTGAGTTTACTTACTGCATATTGCTGGCATTGCATGAGTATCTTGAGCTACCTCTGCTTAATCTCAAAGTAGAGAAAAAGATCATTTAGGAACTAAGGTAATGTTAGATTCAAAATGGCCGTCAACATAAGTCTTTTTTTTTAGACTGATATGGGTGAGTACTTTTTGAAAGCAGAAAAACCTTGTCTCTGAGCTCGAAAGAGGAAGAAGTGTCAGTGTGTTGGTGCTGAGCGATAACCCCTCTCACTGCCTCACCACGCAGACCTAAACACAGAAAAAGACCAGCCCGCTGCTGCTATTATTATCAGGCGTACAAGGAAGTTAGTCATAGAGCAAAATTAAGGGGAAGCCTATTGTAGAGTCAAAGCTGAGGTGTGCTTGCAATTATTATACATTGGTAATTATATGACAGCAATGCACTTGACAGCATTTTTATTTTTATCCAACTTATTGAACTACACAACAACAGAGAACTGAAAGTGTCAAAATTAAATGTCTATTTTTAAAACACAACAACATGCTTCATGGTTTCCTGATTTCTATCGCAGCTGCTCTTACAGAAAATTTGCAGTGTTAACAGAGCTAGCTGTTAGCATGCACATTTTTTGTAGATTTAGTTCTCCATTGTACCCCAGAAAGACTAACTAGTCTAACTAATATGTGGAAGGTAATTTGAGACCTCATCTTCCTCCAGTCCTATTGCTTTCAGATAGAAAAAAATATATAGTCTTTATAAAAAACCTTGTCTTTGTGATCATGCTAACTGTACCAATATTATGAATTCAGGATAGAAGTCCTGATAATTTTGTCTAACAGTTGCATTCAGTCAGTGATTCGTTTCAGGAATAATGATAGAAGAGGCAGAAATTAATACAGAAATATAAAAAAGAAATATCACAACTATCATGGTGTCATCATTCCATGAATTAATTTATTGGTGTATTTTCTCCTGTCTCCTCCCTGCATTTTGCAAACCCTAACTCTGACACCTTGTGATCTTTTAATTATTTATATTTTTACGTAAAATGTACAGTTGTTAGTACAGAGCAGTGGAGGCCGTATTAAATGGCTAATTAATTTTCTGTCATTATTTGCATTATTGCAAGTTAAGCTAGCCGCTAAGTCTGACAAGGCTACTGGCTAACATGTTCTTTGACGATTAGTTGTCATTCTTAATTGATCAACATGCTATTCTATTCGTTGTAATGCAACTGGAGGATTAAATATGTTAGCAATGTCTGGCAAAAGAGTGACAGCTGCAACTAATTTGATTTGCTTTGCTATGTCTACTCCCTGTTGCACTGATCACAGCGCATCATCTCATTGGAGGCTCAATGAGATGATTTCTTTGGCCTTAGATAAAAATCATTGGATTTAGGGAAACAAGAAGAATGTGGTTAAATAATCTAAGCTTAGGATGACCACTGAAAGTCCTGCAAGTGTGATCTTTTCACATGTGCTGGAGTTACAAGTTCTCCAAGCAAAGTAAATATCTATGTAAATGTCTGGAAAGTGGACATAACATCCTTGTTGTGTTTTATTGCCATAGGTGAGAGTGTCGCCATTGCACTGTTCGACTATGAGGCGATTCATGAAGGAGACCTTGGCTTCAAGAAGGGAGATAAACTCAGAATTTTGGAGGAGTAAGTAGCTTTGGGACTTATTCATAATGTCATGATCCTAAGAACAATAAAGCTGAACTTGTAACCAGAATCCAGATATAAATAACTAGGTCTGGAGTGGACAGATATCACCAAGTCAGGACATGCTGATGGAAGACTAAATGCTGAAATTGGACCAAAACTTTCTTTAGCAAAGCATTAGTTTAAGGATAAGTAGTACAGGTGGGCAATATGGACTTAGAATGTCACTGCAATATTTTGTGGTACTATTGTGATGACAATAAAAATGACAATAAAAAAAACTACTTATTAATGTGAATTAAACTGCACACAGTAACTACATTTAATGAAAATTTCCAATTTACATAGACAAAGTTTCTCTTTGAACAAACATTGGAGAACATTGTAAAAAAAAAAAAGACATTTCTGAAAATACTGTCCATTTTTTTATATTAATTGAAATTTATTGGGAGAACATCCATTAAAATTTTTTGAAAGAAATTTTTCACAATAAATCATAAACAATATGATAAATGCCCACCCTAACGAACACAGGCTATAGTAGCTTTTTTGTTTAACTTTCCACTAACAGATTTGTTTGTTGTTCAGTTGTTCAGGATTAATCATATGTGGGGAAAAAGTTTTTTAAATAAGTATTTTTTTTTACATCACACGAACCTATTCAATTAATAGTGCAGTGTCAAGTTTTGACAACCATCTGCACTACAACCTTTGAAGCATCCTAAAGAGCCTTGTGCTGTGTCCGAGTAAAGTTACCCTCCTAGGTATCAGAAATTGTTTTATTTTTTGGGTAACAATTTTGTTTGTTGTGCCTCTCTTGCTGTCCCTTTCACATTTTAGGTCAGGCGAGTGGTGGAGAGCTATGTCCATCAGCACAGGAAAGGAAGGCTACATTCCCAGCAATTATGTAGCCAAAGATACTCTGGAGACAGAGGAGTAAGTGTGCATGCTCAAGCTTTAAACACAAACATGGATTATTGCGTGGCCTTTGTCTAGATTTAATCACTGAGCCTTTTTCCTGTTGTTCAGTTGGTTCTTTAAGGGTGTTAGCAGAAAGGACGCCGAGCGGCAGCTCCTGGCCCCGGGGAATCGAGTCGGATCCTTCATGATCCGAGACAGTGAGACTACAAAGGGTAAGACGAACTGCAAATGTAAATCCATAAAGGGTGTACACACTGACACCCTTTAAAAGATTTGGTGAAAGATTGGTAAAAGACTTCAAATGGATTTACTGATCAGAAGGGGTCTGTGTGCTTAAGAGATTCCACAGTTGAATTTAAATATTTTAATTTGTTTTTACAACAGGTAGCTACTCTCTGTCCGTCAGGGATCTCGACCCCCAGGCCGGTGACACAGTTAAACATTATAAAATTCGAACTCTGGACAACGGAGGATTTTACATCTCACCACGCATCACCTTCAGCACACTGCAAGAGCTGGTCGGCCATTACAAGAGTGAGTTCGACCGCCGGAGCAGATTTTCTCCAGTTTCTCACAGTTCTGATGTAGCATATTGTATATTGCTAGATGTCAAACAGTCAAACCTGTTCTTATTTAGTTGTGAGCAACCTTTTTAGTTCCCCCCCATCATGGTGGCATGTGTGTCTCCCTCTGCTGGCCAAATCTTATAACTGGTCCTCAATTAAAGTCAATCACCCTCCACACCTTTTTCACATATTATCTGTCTTATATTACTGTCACCACATGGTGGCCATATGGTGACAGTAATATAAGACAGTTTTAACAAATATGTAAAAAACATTAATTTATATTTTTTTATTATTTCAAAGTTATACACTGCAGCTTTAAAGGAGTAATTGGATAAGTTCCAATTACCTACAGCATCAACACTTTTCCTCATCATAAAAAGCTGGATAACTCCTGAAACTGCTAAATTTAATATTTGTCGTTTTCAGAACAGGGAGATGGCCTCTGCCAAACTCTGACCAACGCATGTTTGAGCCCCAAACCTGAAAAGCCTTGGGAAAAGGATGCCTGGGAAATCCCAAGATCTTCACTGAAGTTAGAAAAGAGACTTGGTGCAGGACAGTTTGGAGAAGTTTGGATGGGTGAGTCAGATCTGTGCCACTGTAAAACACAATCAGTAACATTTTTTTCTTTTTTTACCAAACTTGTAATCAATTTCTTTGGTTCTATTTGTTTTTTTTTTTCTTCATTGAAGCTACTTACAATAAGCACACCAAGGTAGCTGTGAAGACCATGAAGCCAGGCAGTATGTCAGTGGAAGCTTTCTTGATGGAAGCCAACCTGATGAAGAGTCTACAGCACGACAAACTGGTTCGACTCAACGCTGTGGTCACCAAAGAAGAGCCCATCTATATCATTACTGAGTACATGGAAAAAGGTGCAACTTTATGTTCACTTGATGCTTGAAAACGTTTTACACAACAATATCTTATTCATCTAAAAACCGTTGCAGAACTCGCAGAACTCTTCTTCAGTCAGCATTAATTGGTCCCAGAGGATAAAGCCAAATGGTTGTCAGTCAATTGGACTTCTACAATTTTCAAACGGCAGAAAAAAAAAAAAAAAAAAAAAACAAGTGTCACAGCGATTTACATGGAGGCTGTTTATTGAATCTTTAAATCGTTGTCATGTTTGAATTGGCTACTTTGTTGAAAACATAGTGTCAGTGCTTCCTCTGGCTGGTAGAGAAAACAACCAGCTTTGAATCTTCCTCTCTCAGTAACAGTATCAACATGACCGGAGTAGACACTAGAAGTAGAAAACGGCTAAAATTCATTAAAAAAGTGTTCCAAGCTCTGATGCAGAAGAAAATCTAAACTGTCGTACAGGAATGGCTTTAAGAGTTTATTACACTTGAACGAGAAGATTTAAACACAAATTGCTTATCTAAAATACTGTCTGAATTTCATGTCTTTAAAAATGTTATTATATATATATTTTTTATATTCAGTCGTTGTGCATTTAATGATAATTTTAATGTGTATGAATATGCCTCCTTACAGGCAGTTTGTTGGACTTCTTAAAGAGTGACGAAGGCAACCGTGTCCAGCTTCCCAAACTTATTGACTTCTCTGCCCAGGTGGGAATTGTTTGATGTTATTTAGTGCAAAAATCAGATACAGTTCTAATTAAAACAACAGCTGTTAAAGTGCCTTTTGTATAATGCTAGTCGCATTTGGCACTTGTGGTAAAGACGTGTAAAAGGCCTTAAAATAAACCCATCTTTCATTGGCACAATTACTAACTAGTAGCACACATGCTGATTATATAGCATGTGAGAGCTCGGATGCTAGTAAGGTGAAAGTTATTAAGTGTTAAAAGAAAGACATCTTTCACTAGTCCAGTGTTCTGACTATTAGTGCTACCTCATCAGATTTTCCTACCGTAGCACGGATAGATAGCTATGACTGTCTAAAACTACCGTCATGTTCACAAAGTAAAAACTATCGCAGGTTGTGTTAATGTTCAATATTATCATCGGATAACATTATTTAAGTGACTGGACTGATGTGGAAGCTTAGGAGTTATGCTTAACTTAGCATTGGAACAATTTATATTCATGACGAAACCACAAAAATATCACTTCTTTCATCAGAATGTCCTATCTGTTTAAAATGAAAAGCTATCGCAGATGTTTGCACTTATCCTTTTATTAGAATATCCTACCTTTTTTAAAAAATATATATATTTTAAATACAGATATGTTTGTAAGAAAGAAACAGAATCAGACAGGGGAAACAAGTTTTTATTGAAATTCAATTAAACACATCTACAAATACAGATCACTGCAAAAAAAAAAAATGCGCTTTCATCTGTAACCTTGGGGAGGAAGAACTAAGAAAAGCTTTTACATGTCAGTTCTGTTAAATAATCTATTACTTTGCATTGCTTGTTTCTAGATTGCAGAAGGCATGGCATACATTGAACAGAAGAACTACATCCACAGAGACTTGAGAGCTGCCAACATCCTGGTCAATAAGTCCTTAGTGTGCAAAATTGCTGACTTTGGCCTTGCTCGTATCATTGAGGACAATGAATACACAGCCAGAGAAGGTAAATCTCATCCCTCTACATGTCGCTGAAGAATTCATCTCATTGCTCCTTGTCATGTTAATGACATCACTGCAAAAAACACAAAATCTTAGCAAGTACTTTTGGCTTATTGTCCACTGCACATATCTTAGTAAACTTAAAATAAGACTGCAAAATATACGAGCTTGTTTTAGGTCAATAATTCCTTAACTTCTATGAAAAAGTACAAGTTCCACTGGCAGATTTTTACCAGTGAAATAATCTGCCTAATATCAATATTAAGGAATTCTTGATCTAAAACAGGCTCCTATGTCTTGCTGAAAAGTTCCTTGTTAGAAGTTAAAAGTTTCTCTTATTTCAAGTGCACTAAGATATTTGCACTAAAAACTTGACCAAAAACACTTGGTGAGATTTTATGTTTTTGCAGTGCCACTGTATGCTGAAGGGCTTACTTAAACAGTAATATTTTTGACAAGGACGTTTTTTAACATTTTTTTATAGGACTTAGAATGTCTGACTGTTCAAACTAGTTCTACAGACTTACTGTTTTATTGTTCTTTCTTAACCAGGAGCTAAGTTCCCAATCAAATGGACGGCCCCTGAAGCCATCAACTATGGCTCCTTCACAATAAAATCAGACGTCTGGTCCTTTGGAATTTTGTTGACTGAGATTATCAGTTACGGACGCACCCCCTACCCAGGTGACAACGCCGGTTATTGTCCTTTCAAAATGAGCATAAGTCCTGTAATGGTATTCAGGAAAATCTTTCGGAACATTGCTGGAGTGATAAAGGTTGTAAGTAATTTCTTATTTTCCAGGAATGACCAATCCAGAGGTAATCCGTTCTCTGGAGAAAGGCTACCGAATGCAGCGCCTTGACAGCTGTCCCACTGAACTTTATGAGATCATGCTGGAGTGCTGGAAGAACAAGCCAGAGGACCGTCCCACCTTCGACTACCTGCAGAGTGTCCTGGAAGATTTCTACACAGCCACAGAGAGCCAGTACCAGCAGCAGCCATGAGATATGATTCATTAATATGTGCTGAAGGTTCAGTTTGTGTCTGCAGTAGTGCAGTTCAGGCCACAAACCCTGTCAGTTTAGCTCTCTTGTCTCTTATTTACACACACGACACAGCAATAATAGTAGGGACTGTACAGAAATTATTAGCAGATAATTACTTTTACTTTTGAAAGATAGGTCTTTACATGTTTGCTATTTAATAAAGAAAAGCTCCCTGTTTTAAAAGAGAAGGAACTACAGGGTTGGAAAGGTTTAGCTAACACACCAGTTTCTAAAAGTGAATCTCCATTTGTGTCCACTGTGGACAGCCCACAAAGACTCACTGTCTAAAAGAATTTGATGCTTACTTTATGTAAATTGAGAGTCACAATAATTCCATAGTACTAAAACTCCAACTCAATAGGTGGTA